AACTCCAGGACTTTTCCACTATGGGAAAGGCCAAGATGTTCTACACTTCTGCTACTGTGAACCTAGTCCACTGAACATGACATGACAGGACGGCTTTGTCCTCTCTCTAGAGAATATGTGCGTTCTTCTAGGATAACCTCCTTGTTAGGAAAGATAATAGAAACTTCCAAATTTAATTGCTTCTTCTAATATGCATCCATAGCACCTGATTTAATATTTAAAGATTTGCTGTCACGACACAAGTTCAGAAAGCAGGAATGAGGAAACATAAAAAGCTGTGCATGTGCAATGTGACAGTTAAGTTTTTTTCCTCTGTGCTAGGTATAGGACTTTTGGGTAACTATTATAAGAAGAAAAATGTTAAATCTTTTTTTTTTTTTTTTTTTTTGTTTTTTTGTTTTTTTCCGGGTCTGGCAACGGATCGCAACCCCCAGTGTTGCCCCCGTACCGGACCGGGGACCGGCAACGGGATCGCAACCCTCGGTGTCGCTCCCGTGCCTCGCTCAGCCAGTGAGCGGGAACCGGTCTGTATGTGGGATCCGAACCCTCGGGCGGGAGCACCGCCGCGCTTCCCAAGCGGCGCACTATCCAGTGTGCCACCGGGCTGGCCCGTTAAATCTTTTTTAACATCATTTTTCATCTAAAATAAATTTCAGGGGGATTTAGAATTTAAATATGGTAAAAGAACCATAATAAAATATACATAGATATATGTTTAACTAAATTTGGGTTGGGAAGATTTTTTGAGCATAAAAGCAAAAGAAGGAGCCTTAAAGAAACAGACTGAGAAATATAAATATGTACATATTAACTTCCTTACATTAAAAATCACATATAAACAAATTTAAAAGGTAAATGTCAAACTGATAGAACATTAATAGGTTTTCTGAATCAAGGCCATAAAACAGAAGCAAGGCCATAAAGAAGCAATCACAGAAGACAAGTGGTCAGTAGATATAAGATATTAAGCTTCATTAGTAATGAAATAAAAGCATATAAAAATGAGATACCATTTTCATTATCAAAATAGCAAACGTTTTAAAAGATAATAAAAGTAGTTTTGGCAAGGGTTTTGGAAACTCACTTTCACACATGTTCCTGGCGGGAATATAAAACGGTCTAGTCTTTCAAGGCAGCGACTTATCATTATGTATCAAAACCATTAAAACATGCCTGCCCTTTGGCCCCCAAACACCAATTCTGAGTGTCTATCCTGAGGAAATTATCAGAGATGACAATCAATATTATGGACAAGGGTGTCTATCTAAGCATGATTAAATGACTAATAAAATTTGCTTTCATACAATGGAATACTAAGAAAAGATAAAAAGCCTGTCTTTAATTCTCACGTACCGTGTCATGGTTATTTCAGCTCTGGGACTAGCTTTATATAGTCTGAAAAAAGGATGTTTTATAAACTTGTTGTTCCTAATACTACCCATAGGCAATTATTTGGACAAAGTCTTGCCTGATGAGAGTAAACAGAAGTGAGAAGGTCTTGCAGCTGAGTGGGAAGGAGATTGGGGGTGGGGTGCGCATGAGTGTTTAAAGGTCAAGGAACATTGACTTAGACATGAGAAAGTGCTTTTAATATATTTTAGGATGTATTAAAAAAAAACAAATTACAAAGCAATGTGTATATTAAGATCCCAATTTTGTAAGATGTGTGTGTATTTAATCTACATCAAGATGTTAACAATGGTTATCTCAAAATGGCAGGAAGAGAGTTTATCTTTCTTCTTTCTTTCTTTTTTTTTTGTACTTTTCCAAAATTTCTATTGTAACCATATATTCAGAAAACAATATGTGTTACTAAAAAGAAGCAGCAGCAGCCTTAGCAAAGGTGATGAGAAGCTTTCTGGGCCTTACTTTGCTTCCAGGGCCAGAGCGAAGATGCCAGCAGCCAGGGGTGCCGAGGCCGAGGTGCCCGTGTGGGTCTCAGTGCAGTCATTGTGCAGGTCAGCACTCGTCTGGATGGCATCAGGAAGGAGAGAAAGGCGAGGACATGTGAGGAGTGTGAGCCTGTCCCCAGGGTTAACCACACCAAGGGCTGCATCTGCTATGACCAGGAGACTCAGCTGATTCGATTCCCTACTTCCTCCTCTAAACACGGGCGGATGTTTGCCATCTGCTGATATTTTAGTTCACTCTCCTCTATATGCAACATGTCTATAATTCTGGCAGCAAGATGCCTCTTCTGGGAATGAAGTACTCCCACTATGAATATTTTCTCTTCTGAGATTCCCAAGCGAAAAGCGGTCTATAAAAAAGGAACTGTTTCAAAATCACTGTGAATCATGCTGGCCCATTAATCATCGGGTCCATTGTGTTTGGTCTGGCATATTTAGAAATTCTGCCTCACACAAAATTCCCTTTTGCCTTCAGATTGACATTTGGCTGCCTCTTCAGTGCAAGGATGTAAAGCCATCCTGACCGTAGCCCCTTGCACAACATGTTCTTAGTGTGCTGTCTGCATTCACTGTTGACTAGATTTGAGGCCCACAAGTTAGTCTACATTTGCATTTTGATGAAAATGGTGGGTTTTTGAAATGAAAAGTGTGGTGCTGGTCTTAGTTCTGGGTTCAAATTCTAGAGCTGCTACTTATTAGATGTGTCCCATGGGCAAGTCACTTGGTTTTCTCATCTGTAACATGAGATTTACATTTCCTGACTCATATCCTAAGGCTTAAGTGAGGTCCTGTCTGTGAAAGTACTTCTACCATATTATTGCATGTAAGGAATTACCCAAGCTAGCTTTAAAGTAACGAAGAGGTTGCTGAGACAGAAGAAATCAAAAAGACTTGTAGTCCATCTGCCTTAAGGACAACAGCTCTGCAGGTTGAACAAGGAGTTGGGCCAAAGGATTACTAACATGACACCACCCAGGCTCCAGCACTATAGTTTTCAGCTTGAGATTTCAATGTGTGGGAGGGAGGTGTAAAAAAATAATTTGTTCTATTATCACCTCCTTTGACTTCCCGCTTGGAGTTGCTGAATTTTCAAGTTAAGGTGGCTCCGCTCCTCAGAGGGCTCCAGAGGCAAAGTTGCCCTTTTTACCTATTGACGTAAGTAAGCCCCCAGAGATGACTGTGCTGAGGAAGAGGTTTGCGTAAGAAAGAGGCTATGTTACTGCAACTGCCTCAAATAGAATCCACCAGCTGTCTCTCCTATAGCTGGTTTACCTAAGGAGGGATCTTTACAAAGATGGAAAATCTTCCTCCTGCTTCACTGCAGGGTAGCCCAGATGATGGACAGTTTATGACGTGATGATTCTAAAATGCATAGCAAGTCATTTTCAAGAGGCAGCTCTCGGCACCCAAGGGAATGACAACAGCCAGGGGCTCTGCACACAAGGGGGACAGATGTCTGATATGCCCCTTTCAAAGGTTATAAAATATGCCTTCCATAAAGAACCCTGGGGTAGAATGTCACTACTTTTTGAGTAATTGAAGATAAAAGTATGAGAGGGAAGATAGCACTTTAAAGTTGAGACCACAGTTTTACTTTCTAAACTAGGTTGCAAAACCAGGCAGAGGTGCAGAATAGTGATCCTGTATGAAGAAGACATAAGTGCTGACAATTTTGTTGAGATGCTATTAATAGGACTTTTGCACATATTCCTAGGTAATTACTATATGGTTCGCCCACAATCTAATTGGATTATGATCTGCAAATTCATTGAGATAAGGATCTCCATACTTTAGCTAGTTGGTTCATTCTGTCAGGAGTTAAATTTGAGGCTTTAAATTTTTAAATTAAAACTGCCTCTCTTTTTCGCAAAGCCCCCAAATGGCCCTTCAACATCATGCCCTTGAAGGGAAATCCAATAATTGCCCTTGGCAGTCTGACTCATGGAAGCGAAGGCACAGGCAGGCGTGGGCTGGAGGAACTCTCTCAGCATGTAACATCCCTGAGCTGCTCACCAAGATGCTGAGAAGTTCACCTCAGGGGACATTGAGACTGTTATTTTCTTGCAGGTCGTCCATTCTTAGGAGACATAACTAATGTAGACTGTATTTTTATCATCTGCTAAAGGGCAAGTCAGATTATATCCCTTCTGTCAAAGGATCAGCAAGTACAAGGGAGATAAAGCCCCTACAACCCTGAAATCTCCTTTAAGACTGTTTCCAGGGAGGCATCAGAGAAGCAGAAAAGACATATGGAGTTTCAACTGTATGTAATGACAGGTTTGGTGGTGTCTCAGGGCTGAGTTTAAAAATGACACAGAGGGAAGATCATCTTGGCAGAAGTGTCATTATCCCCGGAGAGAAAACTTCCCACTCTATGTCAGTCTTTCAAGTGAGTAAACGTGAGTCTCCCCAGCTGAGACGTCAAGCTTAAGCAAATCACTTCTACCAAAGGTCGGTTAGGAGACTCTTTCTCGGTGCAAGCCACGCTCTCCTACCCAAGCAGAAAGAGTGAGACAAAAGCAACATACGATTCGCTGGTCGGTGTAATCCCCGCTGCTGTACGAGGTGGCCAGCGTGGAGGAGCACTTCTCGGCATACCAGGGGGACAGGCCTTGCTGGGAGGCACTGCTGATGGAGATGGTGTAGATGCTGTCTGTGTAGCCATCACAGTCACAGTTATCTCCCTGACGTCCCCCATTCCCAGAAGCCCAGACGAAGACGGAACCCTTTCCTTGTCTCCCCTAAAGGAAAAGCCAGAATGTATATACATCTGTTATTCTTTATTGTGCTCACTGTCGTATCCCAACAAAATCCCCAACAAATACATGTGAAGTTCTCAGACACAGTTTTTTGGGGTCTATTTTCAAGTCCAGTTCCTGCAGCATCAATGCTGGAAATCTCATGAGACTGTTATTATAAGCCACTAGACTCTGGCCCTGCCCGTCTCCATCATCTGGGCCCTGTGCGGGGAGGGGGAGGCGGGCTGAGCACGCGCTTTTCTTCCTGTCTTTACTAGGCAGATTCATAATCTAGCCTTTAGCACTCACTCATATTTTTTCACTTTTCTTTTGGCTTATGTTACTATGCTTGAATCTTTGAACTTCCTCTTTTTTTTCCTGCTTGAATCTTCTGGCTGACTGATAGAATGAGAAAATCAGGCATTATTCAGATCTGCCTCGCAGCTGTGTTAAAAGGGACCATTCCATTGAATGAAACTTGTCAAGGCCACCCTTTCTATGATTTTTCAATGTGTGCTCTCCAGAATTTGTGCTTTTGTTTCATTCTGTAGAGTACGAGGTCTTGGAATCTGTGCAATGATGCAGTAAACCCGAGGGACAGAGCCACACAGCCAAGGCACAAGCATTCGATGGGCACATGAAGAGCAGAAGGCAATGTGTCGCTACATTTAAGAATGCCTTTTCAGAGCATTTGAAAGAAGTCTGGGTAGTAGTTTACTTAGTGTAAAAACCCAAAAGCAGCAGAACAATGACAACAGGAGGAAGAATATCCAGACATATTTTTAAAGTAAATATCCTAAAAGTACTAAATCTTCATTTGATTTCAGACCCAAACAGAGAAAACTCTCTTAAGCTTTAATTCCATCCCTCTGAAGACATTTTGGCTTTCTAAGTGCATTAAAATCATAAAGAACTTTGGTAAGCAATTCACAACCATTTCTTTCCATATTACCAAAGTGTCCTTCCTTCCTGCTTATACCCAAACAGTCAGGTTGCATCTCAAGTAGGTCTGTGTTAGCATCTCACCTGTTTGACACCATACTCAAAAGCCTTCTGGGCTAGTCTGCCAGGCCCCTCCACAGTTTTCCCATCATCATTAGGGCCCCAGCTTGCACTATAAATATCCACATGTCCAGGATTGAATCCAATTGAACTGGCCTCAATAGCATCGGTAACAATGCCATCCAGCATTCTTATGCCTGAGTAGCAAAACAAACACATACGAAGTCTGATGTGAGTATGCACATGTATAAAAGTGCAATGCTCTTAACATTTATTTTTTAAAAGACTCTCAAAAGAGTCAAAAACAGGGTTAGGCACTGAACGTCCATAATGCCTGCCACCCAGCTACTAACAGCACAGAAGGGAGGGGCAAGTCACTGCCCACTGCCCCCATAACTTTCTTGTCTGCCCTTTAGAGATAACACTATGCACTGTGCAGGCAGCTGTGATTTTTTTTCCCACTCAAGATTCTCTTCCCAGCAGTATGCCTGAGATTGAAGGGGAGTAGCATCATTGGATGAGAGGAAGTGGTCATTAATTACAAAATGTTTCCCCTCTACCCCAGCAAAATGACAGATTAGCTTTCAGAAAGACCCATCAAACAGCCCCCCCTCCATGTGCCTACTCATGACTGTACCACAAATAGCTGTGGCCCAGTCTGTGCCATACTAAGGGCCCAGTATGGGAGAGAGTACAGCTTGAAAAGATCTAGCACAATAGGAAACTAACAAATAGGGAAAGAACTCTTGTTTCTAAGCACTGATTAAAAATAACCCAGAGGCCATTCTTTTATGTGTTTGCTAAGAAACATTTTCAAGGAACATGTTTCCTTTTCTTCTAAATAATCACAAGGATGAAATCATTGCCATGGATTTCACTCCCGAGGGAAAATCATTTTTCATCAGGAGAATGTAGATGTGGTAGCTCCTTCTGCTTTCCAACAAGCTGTCGCCCATCATCAGACTCATGAAGTCAAGAGCCAGGAAGGCAAAAGCAATTTGGACAGACACAAGCAGCTACCTGGTTATTCCTAGCTTCAGGCTGATAGTACAAGAAGTGCACAGCTTTAGATTTTCTCACTATTATGTACTATGGAGCAAAGGCAAAAGCACATGTAATTAACATGATGAGTGAAAGTCATATTTGTTTTAAAAAAAGTTTAAAAATGTATCTGGAAGAAAAAAAATTGCAAATCTGCTACTTACTGCTGTATGATCTTGAGCAAGCCACTTACCCTCTCTGTGCCTCAGTTTCAACTGTAGAATGGGGATGATAGTAACAGCTCAGGTGCATTGAGGATAGTCTATATGCAGGCACCGTTCTACAGGCCTTACACATATGAGCTCATCTATCCTCACGATTACCATTTGAGGTACATACTGTAATTCTCCATATTTTATAGGTGGAGAGCCTAAGGCCAGAGAGGGAAAGTGACTTGCACAAGGCCACACAGCTTGAAACTGGGGAGTCAAAATTTGAATGCTAGAAATCTGGCAGCCAAATTCATCCTGTTAACTGCCAGGATTTATTGCCTGTAGGGTAAGTGATTGACATACAGTCAATAAATGAAAATTATTGTTGAAAAAATGTATTTGGGGCTAGATCATCAGAGGGTGGAGCAATGAAAAAAAATCATAGGCTTATAATCAGAAGTCTTGTGTTTCACTGCCACAAACTAGCTTTCATTACCTTGAGAACCTTGCTTCTGATTCTTCCTCTATAAAAGGAAGGAAGCAGATGATTCTCTCACGAACTATAGCAGTTTAGTTCATTATGACTTAAAATGAATTCTTTTTCTAGTTGATTATATAATTTGTGCTTCTGCCTTCATTTTCTTTAAATTAACACAACACTTTGAAGATGTTAGTATCAAAGGAATCAGAAATGGCACTTAAAATGTAAGACTGCCCTGTACTAGTGAGAGATGCATTATATATGCCAGGATGTATATTTATTTGGTTTCTAAAAATACATAACCAGATTCAAGGTATACTTATGAAGAGTTTAATAGAATTTTGCTGTAACTGACATGTTCTACACTCGATCTTTTGTGTGATTATAGTTTTTGAAAACCAATCTAAACTCAAAATTTGTAGCATAACCATGAAAGCCTATGGCAGGGATAGTGTAAAGACGAGAGACATTATTATTTTTATTATTATCATTATCTAGCCCCTGCAGATCCACTCTCCACACTTCTCCATTGGAAGGTGGACTGTGTCAGTGGGGTGTCTTGCCTTCCCATTGGGTTCAGCCAACTGAGGACACCAGCAGGAGGGTGGAGGATGGCAGAAGAGTGAGGTTCCCCTAGATCCTCCCTGCCTAGAAGTAGCTCTGTTGTACTCAAGGCCACAGCTCCTGTCCAGGGACTTCTCCGATGACCACACCTTTCTCTTTCCACTTTCCATTGATCTCTCCTTCCTTTTGCTCTTTTGGGACTAAATATGGTAACATTTGTTAGTTCCTTGTTTGTTTCCTCTAACTCTTATAAATAGTCTCTTTATTAAAATGTCCTCAATTACCCTAGTGGAATTTACCATGTGTTTCCCCACAAGGACTGAAACAACTAAAAATTCTACATCCTTGTTATCAAAGATAACCTTTGGCTACTTAATATAACAAGTATGTATTTTTAAAATTTTTTGAAGCTGTTCTTTGTCATGAAATGAAAAATCTCTGTAGAATTGAAAGGCTGGAAAAGTCCTTGCCTAAATTTACCTCCTCCTTCTGTTCCCTTTGCAAGCACTCAATTACCAACTCTTCCAAATATGAACATAGAGAAAATTAGATTTGGTTTAAATGATATTCAACATTTCCATTTTTTTTCCTGCGAAGATGTATAGGCTATATTTAGCTATCCATTTTCTGGGAATCCAAATCCACTGATTTGCTAGCAAATCACACTTAAGTCCAGCAGCAAATTTTACATGGAGTTCATTTCTTCCTCTGGAGATTGGGAAGCATCCTCCCCACCACCCACCACCCGCACTTACAATAGGTAATGCAAGCCTCAAATTAAAGCACCAAACTACAGGAACAACCCTCTGCTTTACCTCCGACTTTGGAATTGTATGCAACTCCAACCCCACATTTGTGATTATTTGCTTGCATGGCAATTTCTCCTGCACATCTGGTCCCATGTCTGAGGATTAAAAAATAAGAGTTGTAAAACATCAATAAAGACAAACATTTGTTTTGCATATGAATCCATGGTACATGGATACATTAACTCTTTGTCAGACTTGTTGCTGTTTTATTCCCATTACAAGAGACAAAATTTATAGTCAGATAGGGACACAGGTCCTGGAGCCAAAGCATATGAATTCTAATCTTGGCTTCTGCCACTAAATAGTGGTATGACCTCAGGTAAGTTATTTATCCTCAAAGGATTGTTGTGAAGATCCCATGAGATAATGTGTGTAGAGCCCTTAGAGCAGTGGTTGGCATATAGTAAGAACAAGTGTTAGCTATTGATACTATTGGGAGCAACTCTGACACTCAGAAACAATTTCAAAGAAATGGCTTCTGCTTCATACTTTACAGTAGTGAAGTGGCTCCTCACTTGTCTCCCTAGCGACTGCCTTGGATTAGGTTATCCTTGACCTGCCCTCGTAGGATATGACAGAACAGAGTCCCCTTCTAAGCCCTCCTTTCTGTTACCAAGAGGAGTTTGAGATTTTTTCATGAGACACTGCAGGCTAACTAGGAAACTAGGGTGCTCCCACAACTCTGACTAGCACCAGAAGTTTGAACAAGATTGGCTTTGCAATCAGGCAATGAGGGCAATTTATGATTTCAGGGTATTTAGGGGAACATTCATCTCTAAACTCACCAAATTCAACCACTAAAGCATCAGTTCTATAATTCAGGGGATAATAATGTCTTTTCACACCACCATCCTGACTCAGGAGGGCCAATAAGCCGAGAGCCCATTAATATGAATCTCCATTTTTCTTGACTTTATTGCATTGTGGAAGCAGAAAGCTGTTGCTGGCTTGGAGGAGCCATTGACCGGATATGCCCACACAGAGGAAAAGAGAGGAAGGGTTTGCTCCAAGCAACGATGTCTGCTGGCTGCTTGTAGACACCATTGCACTGGCCAACTATTAATTCAGCCTGGCACAGAATATGAAATTCCTAAATTGACTGGGCCATCCACAAGAATTCTGTTTAACTCTTTTTTTTAAAGAACCAGTGATTTTCTGGTCACCTTCCACTACGTGATGGTCCTGCTCCTGCATGTTAATACTGGATAGGAATTCTAAGTCAAAGACTACACTTTCAGGGGTCATTTCTATAGTTCATTACAGGAATTCTAACTCAGAACAATATAATTATCTTTAATTCAAGGGCTTCCCTGATTTGGCAGTCATCTGCTTCTTTTTTGTATGCTCACATTTTCCCCTTCTGGGAAGTGGTCCTCCCTGATTCTTTGTCATTCTTTCAGTCACGGGGCCCCTCCTCCCCACAGTTTTCAAGGATTGATGCAGATTCTGGGGAAGAGATCTCTACTCTTCCTTGGGAATCTTGAGCTTTAAATTCTACGTGAGGCTTGTGGATCTTGCTGCCAGGCAAGAGTTTACTGAGAATGAAGCTGAGTGCAGGCGAGCCGCCCCAGGGGATGGAAACAGGTTGGTTTGTGTCCTGAGGACATATTATTTGAACTCCTGGATCTTGCAACATCTGAAGCTAGAGCATCCCTTGGGTGAAATTTTTTTAAAATCCCCATTTTACTTAATCTTTGAATTAGGATTCTTTCATTTGCAACTGAGCTGTCCTCACCAACATGCCCATGCTCTGAGAAATGTGTGCACATTTGAACACATAGTAGGTGCCTTGTACTTTGTGGATGGATTAGCCCACTTTGCCTTTGTAGAAGGAGAAATTCAGGTGTTGTCCTGTGAGAAATGTGTTTCTGGAAGCCACCACTGCCTACATTTATATTTACACAGGATGGGGACAGGACCCAGGATAGCAAAAAATCCAATACAAGTCGCTAGCCTGAGCCAAGAGAATCAACCTGCTGACAAACAAACATCCCCATAATTGTGCCTCTGTCTTAAAAAATGATGCCGTGTGTCACCACCTATTACTTAACTCTCCTTATATACTAAGGACTGACTGCTGCCTAGTGAGAGTAGCAATAGGATCATGGTACAAATGTAGACTGATCTTTTTTCCTTCTCTTATCCTCACTTCCCACCTCCATGCATTAATTAAAAGGGAAGACTTTATCAAAGTGTGTCTATGTCATTCTTTATAGACCTGCAGCTCTTTTTCTTTCCTAAGTCAAGCACTGTGCAAGAAGAACCATCTATTATCTTAAAACAATGGTAGTGACTGGCATTTAAACAAATTGATTTTTTAAAAAATTATTCCACAAGATAGTTTAAAGACTACTATTATTCTGGTTAAGATATCCTTGTCACACATGTTATTTAACTAGAAAAATAATCTGTAATTGGTGTTGAAATACTGAATACAGATTCATGCCAGCTTAATAGTAAGAGTTACCCGCACTTTTAAGATTTTATTGTTTAGTGATTCCTTCAGTGATTTGCAAAGGAGCATTCAAATGTAGCTTCTACTAATCTCATTTACATAGTAAAAAAGAACAGCTGCAATACAGAGGGTTTGGAGAGATAATGCCCTTGGAATTGGAGGATAATAGGTTTCCAATTGCAATAAAGACCAAGACAAAATGGAGCCATTCATTTTCCAAACCTAGGGAATTTATGTCTGACAACATTCTAGAAGGGTGGCCATTTCTTGTTATACCTCCTGATAAATGATAGGGATGCTACCTTTCCGGTTGGTAGTCAAGAGGACGCTGACAGATAGTTGCTCATTGTGTCATTTTCAAATAGCAGATTTTGAACTGGCTCAGAAAATTGACTTGCCTTTGTTTCTGCTCCTACTGGATAATATTATTCTCATTATACTAATTTCTCACTAAAAGAAGGTCTTTAGCAACTTCAGTTGCTAAATCAAAAGCTCTGATCATCATCATCATCACTGTCATTGTCATTATCATCATCATCTCATGGGCATCATCATCACAGCAGTTATTTAACTTCTTTTTATGTACCAGGCAGTGTCCAACCCATTTATATATATAAACTCACTTCATCTCTGTAATAACGCAATGAAGTAGATATCTGTTTCCAAAAGATTATAAAACTTAAGTACAAAGAAGTTAATAACTTGCTCAAGGTCACTCAACTGTTAAGTGGCAGGTCTAAGATTTGATCTAAAGCTTGTTCCAAAGTCTGTGTTTTGAAGTGTTGGGTTATGCCATGCTAGCTCCATGCCATGTGAAAAGTCCATGGCAGGCTATGCTCTGAAAGCTCAGAGATTTTAGGCTCAAGATAAATATCATCATATGAGCTGCTTCCTTGGGATCTCTGGAGCTCCCTGAGTTGGGGGAAATGTAGCTATTAGAGATAGTGTCATGTAAGATTCCCCCTTTTTTAGCGAGGGAAGAGAGAGGTCTGAATTCCCCTCCTAATGACTAGAGAATCTCTAGAGTATCCCTTCACCAAGTATTCACATACTGTGAAGTCACCACACAAGTTATCACCTGCAGTAGATCCTCTAGGCAGGAGGTATGCTACCCGGGAGGGAGACTGACACCTCCGGCTGAGTCTTCTCAGCTGCACCCATGTGGCTGAGAGCAGATTTCCCTCTTAGTCTTAACCAAGGGATGGAATGAAATCTGTTGTTTTTACTCCATTCTAAAAAGCGTGCTCCTTTCTTCCATGTACTTATTGCCCATTTCCTCAGGAAGTTCCTTTCAGAAACAGGGAGCAAGTGCCTTGTCACCCATTTTAGGGGACAGAAATAAAAAGCAGAGGCAAAGAGAGGGAAGTGATTTCCCCAAGGTCACCCCCTATGCCAGTAATTGGCAAAGCCTCAACTGCCAGCCAACCTAGCATTACAAGACCGTGCTCCAAAAGATCAGAGGTTCCTGCTGATCCCATACTCTCCTGACTCAGAAATAGGGCTGAGACTGTTGGGGTGGGGGTGGACCTGCTATAAGTTCCTGAGAAACTCCCACTTTCCTCCAAGTCTACCCCTGCCAGTGGTTCCTATTTGTATTGTTACTGAAATGTTCTAACCTTTAAGGGTATATGTAGTTAACTCCTTTACTTAAATCACCAAAGAAATAAACGGTACTGGGCCGGCCCAGTGGCGCACTGCTATAGTGTGCCGCTTGGGAAGCGCGGTGGCGCTCCCGCCGAGGGTTCGGATCCCACATGCAGACCGGCCGCTCACTGGCTGAGCGAGGGGCGGGAGCAACACCGAGGGTTGCGATCCCGTGGCCGGTCCCGGTCCGGTACGGGCGCGACACTGAGGGTTGCGATCCGTTGCCGGTCACAAAAAAAGACAAAAAAAAAAATGGAAAAAAAAAAGAAAGAAAGAAACGGTACTGAAAGAAGTAGAATCTTTGAACTCTCAATAAGCCTCCCCTTCTCCCCAAAGAAAAACCATACACCCAGAAGTTGAGGCCAAGTCCATGTGCCCCAGCCTCCCTTCCTGGAGGTTGCTGGCCTTCTGGAGGGGGTGCCATCCAAAGAAAGGAACAACTTTAGGTCAATATTATTGCACCAGCCTCATGGGAGTTCTAGAGAGAATAAAGGAAAGAGTGAGAGTGAGAGAAAATTGACTGACCCAAGTTGGGTAACAGTCCAAGGGACAGAGCTATCCAGAGAGAGCAGGGGAGCACATTATGTGACATTTACCAGGAGCTTTTACTTGCTTTGCTTTTTTCATCCCCACTTCTAGCTGCAAGCCCTAATTTTGCCCTTGGCCTTCATCTATTCTGGTGCAAGTCTCTTCTGAGTAGAGGAAATAAAGAGGAAAGTTTGAACGTCTCCTTGCAGCTTGTGAGCGATGTCAGTATGAACAAAGATGAGTTCTCACATGGGCATGGACACTCTGAGGCCATGAGCCTAGAGGGTAAAGTTTCTTTGGGGCTAAGAGACAGGGTTAGAAGTCTCTTGCCTCTGGGTCTCTTTTGGACTCTTGCTTTGGAAATTCTGGCTCTTGTCCTCCCCTACAACCCCGTGGCTAAAACGGAGAGATAATTAATCTAGGAGTCAGATGCCGTCCCCTTTCTCTTCCCTTTGGCTTTCCACCTAGCAGGAGCTCTGGAACAGGCTACTAACTGATTCAGTGCCTTGGAGACTGGGTTGGATTTGGGGGCCAGGGCTCAGGTACCAAACTCTAGTCTGGTGTCTGGTCATGCTCTTCTGGGGGAAATGGCTGAGGATGGTTGTAGCCAACACAGGAAGTTGTTGACTAACATCAAGCATGTTGCTAATAGCAAAAGATTTATACGATAATTGGAGGTAGGGAGTGAACTCGAAGTTTGTACTCTTTATGCCCCAAACATTCTTTCTAAAGCTACAAATCTTCAGTAACACTTGAGGAATAAATTTCATAATATCAGAAGGAGAATTTTACAATGTGGAAGTTTAATTAAAATATGGTTTTATAAATCCAAAGGAATATAAAAATGTAAGCTTCGATTCCTGTTTTAAAAGCAACAAAATATTGTGGTACAGATGCTGTGCATTAACGCTTTCTGAGTGCTAGAGTGTGGATCAAATTTATAGCATAATTTTCACAAACAAGATAAAAGCATTTTAAAGTACTTTATTCTCCCGAAATGCACGATTACTCACTTGTTCTCATTTGTGGGGTCATATCGGGGAAACGGATCATGGTCATTATCATTAAAATCATAGCTAGCCTCTGGATCCTGAAGAGATAAAATAGAACTGTAGCATCATTAAAAAAAAAGAAAAGAAAAGAAAACAACACTTCTCAAGGCTTCGCCCCATCCCTTCTCATTCTGGATGATAGTTCAAAAGACTTGATTTCAGACTTTCTGACCTAGTCCCAGAACACTTACTATACGCACAAAGCCGGCAGAGAGGATGAACACCCCAAAGTGAGCCAGCACCCAGTTCTCAGTGAATGTCACCAAACCTACAGCTCATCAATGCCCATAGGATGTTAGAGCTGGAAGGAATCGGAGTTTGCTTAGTTCAGTCACCTCATTTTTCAGATGAGAACATCAAGGCCCAGAGAAACCGAGTGATTTAACTAAGATCACAGAGACAGTGCTACTTTGACAGTGTCAACTCATCTGTCTTATGAATAGAGGTGCAAAGAGGTTGCTGTGGGGTGAGGCTCAGGTCCATAGCGATCTTCTTCAACTTCCCCAGGCACACTAAATAAACATGCAGTTTAATGAAAGAGAGTGTGCTTGAAGTTCGAGACAAGCCTCCAGGTCCCAAGCCCTTTTCCAACCAGATTGCAACAATTAAACCTCTCCCACATAAGAATTCTATGACTACTACTACTTCTCAATATTTTCCATGTCCCTCGATAATTCCTACTTTCTATCTGTGCTAATCTTTTTTTTTTTTTCCTTTTTGTCTTTTTTTTTACTGACCGGTAACAGGATCGCAACCCTCGGTGTTGCGCCCGCACCGCGCTCAGCCAGTGAGCGGGAACCGGTCTCCACATGGGATCCGAATCCTCGGCGGGAGCGCTGCTGCACTCCCAAGTGGCGCACTCTCCAGTGCACCACCGGGCCGGCCCTGTGCTAATCTTTTTAATCTCTTGTTTTCCTTCCCTTTTCCTTTGCTCTTTACCTTTGTGTTATGGCTGGGGAATGTCAGGTGGCTGGAAAGGAAGAGAGAAAGACAAGAGACAATCTTGAAGATGAAATGTCTGCCATCCTGATCTAAAGATCTAAGAGATATTATGGAGTTCATATTATATTGTGAACTTCATAAACAATTAAGTAGATCATTTTCATTTATTTATTTTCCCATTTCTAGTAAACTTTTCCATTCTCAGCTTGGCATTTTTGAACTGTCTGGGATTCACTTTGAATTGGCAATGGAAGGAATCGCATCCACATAACTTCACAATGTCAGGGATACTGAGTCATAAGTGATGAGTGGTGGAAGACCGTGAAAATGATCCCAGGCATCAGTCTTGATTGGATTGCTTTACTGCCCTAAACACTGAGTGGGTCAGAGTCTGAATGGCCTTTAATAGTATAATTGGTAAAGGTACTTCCCCCACGTTCTCCCAGCACACATACTTTCATACAGTCCTTGACCCCACTGAACTCTTTAATGCCCACTGGTACAAGACAAGTTCATATGGGCTGGTGAGAGGGTAAGGGAAGGGGCAAAGCCTTAGCCTATCATTTCAAGGGCTGACATCAGAGAAGCTTCTCTCTTGAAGGGAAGGAATACCCTAAATGTTTGTCTACATGGCAACTCCCTAAGTCACAGTCATGGGAGGGCCCAGACTCACGTAATTGGCATAAATATCTGTGTGATTCCACTCCAAGCCATCATCCAGTACAGTGATAACAACTCCTTTGCCTGTAATGCCTTTTTGCCAAACAGGTATCACATGAAGATCCAGCTTGGGCAGGGCTGCAGTCATCCTTGTATCTTGCTGGTAAAGATAAACGAAAGCATTGGAAAAATCGTGATTTGCCTGCTGCAAAATGGAAACTTAAGCCCCAGCCTGGAAACCCCTCTTTCTTTTTCCTTGGGTCACTCTACTCTTTAGAAAAGGCAATTAGGTGAAATGAAGAACAAAGTTGAGGGTCGGCCAAATGGATCATGAGACTGCTGCTCTTCTTCCAATTGTTCTAATGGAAAATCACTTGAAAGAATTAATCACCTGAGCCCCTTCTCTTTGAACTATATGGCTTCAAAGAAGTTTGTCCCTATGTTTCTTTCATTTATAATGACATGCTCAAACTTTTTCATTTTATTCTTTTCCTATAATAACAGGCCAAAGCTTTATTTGATGGCATATGTTTCTATCTCCCACCAAATCCTGAGCCTCGGTTGCCACATTGAGCTCACATTATATTGTTGGTGCAGAGTCACTCATGGATGTTTTAGAACTTTTCCTCTAAAAGAAAAAGCAGAAAATGGAATGCTAAGGAGACCAGGAATTGCAATTTAATTGCCCACCTCCAAGTATGAGCGATTTAGTAAATAAGTATCTTGGAGAGGAGATTTGGGGTTTTTCTTTTCAGATAATTTTTCCAGCAGTTACAGTATGTAGGAGAAGAGGTGAGCAGCAGAGGAACACAAGATAAAACACATTTCCAAGCAGGTGATAGATACATTAGAAGAATGCCAGGCATCTGGTGAAAGGGTTAATAAGAAATTTATAAGTAACAACAATCAAAAGTGTCAGAGAATGGACTTCTCCTTTGCTGATGCTCCTGCAAGGGCTATGGTGAAGCTAAATCACAGGAGGCTAGAACCACACACAGATTGTTGGCCAAAGCCAGACAAGAAAGCCTCCATGTCAGTTGTGGGAGCAATTACAGAGTGTGGTTGTTAAGAGTATGGCCTCTAGAGCCATGATTTATGGTCCCACCACTGGTAGCCATGTGATTTTGGCAAATTATTCAACTTGCCAATGTCTCTGTTTCTTTATCTGTTAAATAGGCATCATTACTGTATCTATAACATAAGGTAGTTATGAGGATGAAATGTATTAATTCATGTCAAACACTTAGAATACCATTTGGTACATAGTAAATGCATAAAAGGTGTCAGCTGATAAGTCTCTTCTGCTGCAATGAGCAAGTACTGCCTAGGTAAAGAGAGTGTCAAAAGGAACTGATCCCTTTTCCCATCCATTATTCATCAAGAGTGTCTAAACCTTAGCTTACAGTTGTCATGAAGAATGATCTTTTATAATATTCTCAACAACAAACCCTTCTATTAACATGTGTTACTACTAGAGAGGCTTAACATTAAAATGGAAGAGAGAATACCCTGCAGGCAAGGAACAATACTTACAATTTCTCCACTCAGCGCCTACACACCAGTAAAGATTGGGTAACAATCTTAAAGGGAGAATTGTTTGCAATTCTAGACATTTGCAAATAGACTTTCCTGAGTTCCTTCATTAGCCTCGTTCAGAGATTCTCACCCACTGCATGTAAGAATTGTCATTCAGTACTATGTATACTGAACTATGTTCACTGTACTCTGTGAGTGATTGATTCAAAGGGTTCTCAAGAGTTACTTCAACTGAATGTGACTTTTGCCATGAGTACTCTTTTTGAAGCCCCTAACACGCAAGACGTGATTCTTCTGCATGTACCCCAGATAAGTTTAAGAAAACAAAAAGATGACAGCCCCTCCTCTCATAAATAACTAAAGATCTGTGTTTCAGACACAGTCACCCAACAAAACAGAAGATTCAGATAAAAGAAGATCCCATCAGTCCTGATCTCTAGATAACCTAGCCCTCTGCTGAATTCTCCATCATGGGGGGAAAAAGCCATTGTGCAGATAAAACAATGTAAAGAACCCAGAACCGAGGTCCCACACAGGAGCCCAGGTTTCTTCTCTATGTACTTACCAGGTACCACTGCTGATTCCACATCGGATCGTTGAAGAGATCCAGTGCTGAGTCTCTCAGAGGTGAACGTTTACTTCTCTCTTTTTCATACTGCTGTTCGGCCCATATCACCTGCAAGGATTTTTACAGCAAAAAAATCAGAAGTCAATAGCCACCTTTGTATAATCGTCTTTCCTCCATCCCCAGTACCCTTCCCATCAGAGTTCGGGCAGCTCCACAATGCTTTTGTTTGACTACAGATCAAACTGGCAGAAGGGATTGCCCACTAGGGAGATGAGCATTTCCTCTATTACAGTAAAGTATACCTTTAGGGGGAGGAGAAGCAGACAGTGAAGTGATGAGTCCCTCAAATTACTTACACTGTGGGCACAGTGGAAGTAAAGTTCAGCCTGCTTTTATCAGCAAATGGACCATAATACCCATTTTTATATTGAGGTTCCAGGGCTCTGTAGCTGAAAATTTGTCCATTCTCATGGAATGAGTCAACAAGCTAAGAGACTGCAGAGATTGCTGCTATGGTGCTTTTATAGCCTAATTTCTCTTCCTTTAACATGCAAATGTATAAATTGCAAATATTATACAAGAATGGGGCTGTGTCTTTGCAAATTTGAAACTCTGGCTCCCCTATGCTTCGCCCTCCTGCTTAAGAGTATTTAATATGAGAAACAGATTCAGGGTGATGAATGAGCACTACTGACCATGAACACTTGCCATTAATTCAATCTCATGTATTATGCAAAGAGATCTGACAATATGAAAATTACCTGCCCCACATTTATGGCATAATCCTATTATACTTGAGGCCCTGAGAGAGTGAGAGGCTGCCTTGTAGTTGTATTCATTATGAGATAATGCTATACTCTCATTTTGCTGGGCAACACAACTACTTCCTACCCCCAAACACACATTTTTTGTTGTATACATGATGACAGTCCAGTGTGTGGTGGGATATTATTAATGTGAAAGTACTCATGAGTTAGATGCGAAAGTAAAAACTGAAAAATAATTTGCAACTAAAGGATAAAATCAGACACTAGGACTGTCCTGAATTTTCAATTAGAAAATATACTGCAAACCTATTATAAACATTGGGAGGAACTTGAGAGCTAGAAATTAGTCACTATAATTTATTTTTAAAGTGCTTGTATTTTCAAGCTTAATTGTTTTGGCTTAAAATACCTCAATGCTTGGACTACTGCCATCATCTGAGTTAGCCTTTGGAGGATGGCTGCTAGGGAACAAGTACCAATCTTCGGGGGAGAGGATCACTTACAGTTGGAAATTTTATTAACATATGTGTAAAGATAGGCTGTCACTGCATTTCACAGGGCTGATTTGAAAGAACATTATCCCCCATCAAAAAGGAGCAATAAAATGAAAATCAAGAGCAATTCTAAAAAATGGAATATAAGAAGGGACACTCTGCCATCTGATCAGATAAACATCCAATTGTAGGAAACAGGGCTGTGATTAATGTCATTAACTCAGAATTGCATATTAATCTCTAGAAGAGCAGACAAAATGGAATAGAGAAAATTGGTGGTGTCTTTCTGTTATTATAAAATAGGTATCATGTACTCAATTGTAAATAATGATTTTGATCTGGAAAGAGCATTAAATATCATCTAGTCCAACCTCCCACTGCAAGCTTCTATGATTCCAGGATTTTTTCTAAAATAAAATTATTCTTGGGCTAATGTTTCATAGAATTATATAAACGTCTTTGTTATGAAGTTATAATGGAGAGTAAATTCTTAGCTTTTTCTCATTATGCCTTGGGATTCCCCCCAAAATCAACTACCAAGGAGACATCTAGACTAGGATTGGGCCATCTGTTCATTTTCATGAGATAATTTAAGTAAGAATAACAGTTATGTATGCTCCACTCTGTCCAAATTTCTCTATGAAAATGAGAAGAGAGTTCAATATGACTTCCTTGTGCACTAATGCTGGACATACATTTAGGCAGAGAATAAAATTTCTCTCTTGATTTGCTCAAGGATTAAGCCTATCCAGAATGCTGGAAGTTGTCCTACTTTTCAGAAGCACATACAATGAGCCATCTGTCTTGGGGTGGGTAAGGGAAAATCTCATTGGACAAGAAAGCTTTAAAGTAAGGTTCAAGGCCTCTGATTTGGTCTCCCACATCTAGTCATAACTTGAAAAAATGAATTGGCAATGGGGGTACAGGAGCCATCAGGTTGTTTTCCGTAGTCCTGATACAGCATTATTTGTAAGGCGAGATTGCTTGTTTTTCATTTGAACATTGGTGACACAGCCCAGTCATTCCCTACCCTCATAATTTATCTTCATCTTCTTCTTTTTAAACTTATATCAGTTGCATAACAAATAAAATAGCAAATTATTTCAAAGGCTTCATGACTTCCATGTACTTTCAACAGTTCTATCACCTTTCTGTCACTTATACTTTTTTTTCTGAGAAGTTGAGAAGATGCTTTTAATCCTTTCACCAAGAGGATGTTTTCTATCTCTTACCATAATTCTCCAGGTGTCCTAGGTAACAGAAATCATGTATAAAGGTATTAGGCAAACCAGGATAGATTTCCAATAGTATAGCACATTCTTGAGAAAAAGCAACATTGTGTATGCAAATTGCAATATCCCAACATAGTCAACATTTTCTATTGATATATTTGCTGATGTTAAAAATTTACTTCAAAAATCAATAGGCACATTAGACATACATTCAAATTATCCCACCCTATTTACCTATTGTCATTCTAGACATCTTCTGCTGTTGCCTAATCATTGAATCTGTATACAAACCAGGATGAAAAGCGATCAGGTGGTTTGGGTCAAACAAGATAATATTTATGGAAACATTTGCCTCATGAAGACATGGATTTAGAGCTCTCTTATAAATACTATGTCCCAATATAGCAAAACCAGATAGAAATGGTGGAATGTTTTTCAGTTATACTGAGATGTTATTGAAAACAAGAGTCGTATATTTCCCAGGCATCCCCATGTTGGTATTAAACTGCTTGGTATATAACAGGTACATAATAAAATGTTGTTGGTTGGTTGTATTGTCAAACATTTTTATTAGTGCTGCCACCTGATTTTTAATATTAACTTTCATGCTCTTATACTGAATTTGTGAAAAAAAAATTTATGCATAAAATTAACTCAACCAATCCAGTGCAATCTTGTTATTATTATGTGTAATTATAACCCTAAAGAAAGAAACTATAAATATTACAGATAAACAATTGTGGTCACAATTTTTAAAAATCATATTTGCAAAATGCTTTTGCTTTTATTGGAAATCATAAAGAAAGCAGATAAGTCAGGTATTGGTTTGAAAACAATGCACAAAACTTACGCGATCATCATCAGATAATCTTTTAGTGATATGAAAGGCACTCCTTCGAGACCTTCGGGGATGGTTTTTGTGTTTGAATAAGTAGTGATTCTCAAGTGATCCAATCTATAAAAGAAGAAAATTAGAAATGTACTTTCGAAACCCAACTAACAGTAAACTTTTATTAAGCCTATTCCTTGTACCTGAAGTTAACTTTTTTCTTCATTATGATGGCACTGATAGAGGTCTTGAAATGACCCTCAGGATATTGTCACGGGCTCATAGTGTACTTGGGGGCTGCGGATAATTCTGTTTCACACATTTTAAAAGAACTACATTTGTTTTTTTGTGTGACAATATTGTATAAGTAGACAGTTCTCAAAAAAAAGAAATCCATTTAATCAAATGTATCCTGTCAGAGAACAATTCTTTCTGGAAAGCAAGCAAACACTTCAGGTACTACGATCAGTGCCACACTCAGCTAAAACAATTTATTGTTGTTATAAAATGTAGCCATCGAATCAGTAGTGATAATGGTTATCAGCTGTTATTTAGTGACCATTTGATTTTCCACTAGTTTAAGGCTTTCAGGAAAAAGCATGCCAGATTTAGGGTAGCTGTTCCACCTGGGTGTGTATATACTTCTCTGACTGGCTATTAACACCTTTGCTCCATTTAGAACTACATTCATTATTCTTTTAAGCTAGCATCCCTTTACTCAAAACAGTACTAAATTTGAAGCTACCAATTCCTCTAGATGCCCTGCAGTGTTAAAATTAAGAGGCAAACAATTGACAATAGTTTATTTCAGAAGAAGTATCTTCTTTAAATTGGTGGTTCTCATCATCTAGAGTATTTTTTTTTTCCTTTTTGTCTTTTTTCGTGACCGGCAATGGGATTGCAACCCTCGGTGTTGTGCCCGCACCTCGCTCAGCCAGTGAGCCGCCAGTCTGTATGTGGGATCCGAACCCTCGGCGGGAGCGCCAGCAGCACACTGTAGCAGTGTGCCACCAGGCCGGCCCCTAGAGTATTTTTTAATAGAGATGCTTAGGCCCTTCTCCAAGCCTGAATCTCAGTGAGTAGTCTGTTATAAGCTGTAGATGGAGTTGGGAAGAGAGTTCAGTAGCCATGGGAAAAGATCACCAATGCTTAGCTCTGTTTCTGCTGTCAAGTGGTTTTTCTTTTTGTCACTTACCTTAATCCTACCTAGCTTTATTTTGAGGCCATAAGAGCCTCAGAATAGTATTGCTAAATTAGCATAATTTCAGCAATTTCAGTAATGCTAAGCAGAAAGGGAAACAATCAGAACCAGGAAAGCACTATCAGTCTTTTACCAAAAAAAAAAAAAAAAAATTATTTTAAAAACTTTTGTAAGTAATGCCATTTTAACTAGAAATGACTAGAGGAAATATAGCATTGCAAATCGTATGTAAATATAGATGGATTTTCCCAACTATTTAAAAATTATTCTTGTGACTACACCATCCCTTCTCCAAAGATCCTACCAAGAATACTGATTTGTTGTTTTTTACTTTTTTGGATTTATGTTTATTTATTTTGATAAACAATTCCCACATTGAATGATATAAGTTTGGATGCATGTCTGGGGCTACCAGGTAAAAAAAGGAAAAGGGATTTAGTTTTGGCTCTCTCTCCTAATCTCCTTGTACACAGTTACCAGAGCTATTTAGCCCTTCAGTAGCTGCCCAAGGGAATACATGATTAAATCCCCAGTACCCCCACCCCCACCCCCTGCAGGACATACAAAATTTCCATGATGCCCACAGTACGCACCAATACAGTTCCATCTGCTGTTTACTCTCCCTTTTGGTCCTCCAAATTCCTAACAATTGTGTGCAGTTACCAGACTTATCACCAAACTGTTTTGTGTTTTCCTGTTTTTCCATAACCTGTTTTCCATGCCTGGGGTGCCTTCTTCCAATCTCATCATATTCTCCTGGAAACCCATGACTCTTCTTCCTAAACCATGTGCAAATTTTTCCTTCTTTGGGCAGTCTTCTTTCACCCCTCCCAAAATTCCCTCCTACTTTTATTACTTTAATAAACAAATATTGCACATTGTTGAGTATTGTTGAAGCACACCCTCTATGGGTACACAAATAATGGTCAGATGCAATGGTCTGTTTCTAAGCTATTTTCCTCTAGATTCTTGATTCCCTGAGAGTGTTTTTTGTTTTCCTTCCTTCCTTCCTCCCCCCCCGCCCCCCCGTTTTTCCTGAGCCCCTAACACACAGCCTGGCCCAGAGCAAAGCTGAGCAAAAAAAGTAAAAGGCTACCTCTACTACTGGGACACCAGGAAGTCAGTCCGTGCATTGACATTTCTGCCGAGCATTTCAAAAACTGTTCGGCTCATAAAGTGGGAGAATGAAGTGTATTCTCCAGTGGATTCGATCTATGGAATCGCCAACGCCCACACTGATTACTCATCCGTGATTTCAGCAGCGTCTCAATCACCACCTCCAGAGAAAACGCGCCAAAATGTTTTACAACTCCCTCCTCCCCCGCTTCGATGCAGACCAACTTCCAAAGCAAGGGGCCGGGGACTTGATTCTGAGCCAAGGGAAAGGAAAGCTCTAGATAGATGTCACACCCCCTGGGGTCCCTTTGGAATCGCGCAGCCTAAGCAGTCTCCTTCTTAATGCCTTCATGCACCAACCCACCGCAGCTGTCTATTAACCCAGCCCCCACTTGGACAGGCAACAGTTTCGATCATAAACTGAACCCTCTGAGAAACGATTACGCATTTGGCTAAGAAACAGGAAAGAGACAGATTCCTTCCCCACAGCCAGTTTGGCAGCTCGACCCTGCGGAAGGGTGTTCGAGTAAAGTTATAAAGCTCAGACTTTACAAGTTCCCAGTTGAACACCCAGAGCTCCCCCGAGGTGTAGAACTGGTCCCGTGTCTTTCACCCACCTCTTCTCACGCCAGCTTCCCAGTCCACTTCGCGGCCCCCGAACCCCCAGGTCGTGAGTCCCGGCAGCTGGCGCTCTCCCAACGCCCTGGGCATGCCCCCAAAGGCTGCCGCCGGTGGACATCCCTAAGCCTGTTTGGTCCCTTGCATCAGGACTTGGATCTGATGCTGCCATATTGAGGACAAGGAAACGGCCGGCTCCTGACGCAGACCGCCTGAGTCCCGGGGGACAGAGCGCACTGCCTTTCCCGGTGGCGCTTGGTTAGTGAGAGCCTGAGTGCATCTCAAGTTCCCTGAACAAGCGTCGAGGGATTTTTCTTCCAAACCGCGCGGGAACGGCTGTCAATTCCAGAGCCGACAACAGTAAGAATAAGCTCTGCTCTACCCAGCTGCAGCAGCTTCCTTTCCTGCCTGGCTGCGCCCGGCCCGAACAGTAAATAATGCAAGCTTTCTCTCTCTCCAAGCGCGCCAGAGGCGAGAGCTGGAGGAGATCCTTGCTCTTTGCCACACTGGGTGCTGGAGAGTGCATCCTGGGGCTCCCACTTGGGAGACCGCGTTCCAGTCCCGCCAGTCCCCGCGGGCTCCCAAAAGTTTTTCGAAAGTGCAAACTCTTACCTGACCCAAGAGGTCATAACCCAGCTCCTCGGCGATGGCCGAGGCTGCCTCCAGGCCCCCGGGGATCTCCGCAGCCCATTCATTGACAAACTGCCTCTTCGCTTTTACACTGTTCAGAGCACACCAAGCGCAAAAGAGGGTGAAAGCAGTGCACTGCAGAGTCCAGGCTCTTCGCTCCATAGCTTACACACTCACTCGCACACAAGAGGGGAGGAGAGAGGGAAAAGAAACAAGACAGGAGAAAAGCTAGACAGACTCGTCCTTCCCACCCTCAGGCTCTGGACCACTCCCGGCTCCGGGTTGCTCTGCCAGGAGCTAGGAGGCGCGCGAGGAGAGGCTGGGCGGCGGCGAGCGCTCACTGAAGCGCTTCAATCTCCCAGCTGAGAGGAGCCCCAGCCCTTGCCAGCCAGAATGGAAATGAGTGTTTACACGTCAAATCGACGAAAGCCATCTCTTGACGTCAGATCTACCTGGGCTAGGATCTGGATGGTATTCCCGGAGGGGTGGAGAAGCGGCTAAAATAAGCAGCAAGGATTAAGAAAAGGAAGAAACCGTTTGCTGGGATGAGTTAAGTCTGCTCCTGTCTGCCCATAAATTCTGTAGACATGAGAAACATCTTCACTTCTCAGAGGAGTGCCCCTTTGAATATAACTACCAAAAACCAAAGGCTGGGAATGCAGCACACTTTTCCATCCATTAAAAAAAAAATATTTACTTCATTATCTCGTGGGGGGGTCGGGGGGCCGGGGGTGTGTAAGGATTCCTAAAGTGGCCCTTTGGGTATCAGAACCTGCCATGAAAATAGGGCTCTTAGGTCTTTCAAATTGGACAGAGACTGGGAGGGCAGAAAGAAAGGAAGCAATGCTGCCCAAGTTCTGCTTTAAATCGCCTAAGAAAATGAGCACGTCTACAAGACAGTGTTAAAGCGATACTTTTACAAACACATTTTAACCATTCAAACCACCTTAGTTTACATGTTTGCTTCCTTCTGCCCTCTGTTTCTCAATCTCAGTAAAATATCTAAAATTCTATTCCAGATATGCAGACCCAGTACAACCTATACAGAGCTCATCAATAATAATAATAATAATAATTAATCACGTTACTTTTTAAAAAATAAAAAATTGTTTTATTTATCAACCGGGGGGGGGTGGTCTACGGTCCCAAATGCTGTTGTGTTGACTCAGGGAGGGAAAGAGCAGGTTTCATTAACCCGGAGCTTTCCATTTTTCCTTCAGTAGAGCTCTTCACTTTGGTGCTGAACTAAAACTGTGCCATTTTCCCCATAAAATGTACCATGTCTCTTTGTGGGAAAATGTTTTCCCGTGGAAAGAGAACGAACAAAAGTCTAAATGAAACCCCCAACCCCACCGAGGGAAATGAGTTCAGTCTACCATGGAGGAACCTATTCAGATCCTAAGGGACTAAATCTGGCGGGAGATACCCGTGTCTAGTATTCAGCACCGAAGTCTGGACAGCGACACACGCTCAACTCTGACGGAGCTACCCTCCCTTGTGAGCACCAAGGACCTCCGCCCTTCTGCAGCTGGCCAGCACCAAGCTGTTTCCCTTCGGCCTGTGCCCTTCCTCTCGTTTGAATAGCAAAATAGAAAACTGGCCGCAGCGGGGAGTGTGATTAGGTTCATGATCTTGACTACTTGTGTTGCACTCCCGGGAACGCGTTGGATTCAGCCCCAAAGTAAAATTATCAGGAGGTGAAAGCCAGCAAGTGTGTTGCGTTCAAGAAAGGGTTTTTTGTTTTTGTTTTCTTGTTTTTAAGCTCCCAACCGCCGGGGGGCGCAATCTATTCTAGAGAAAGAGAAGAGAAGGGAGAAAATTGGAAAGAATGCATGAACACGTGGAGAAAGGAAGCAAGAGATGTTCTTTGTGAGAAGCAAATAAAACAACACTTGGTGGAGGATGGGGCTCAATAATGCTAATTCTTCATTTGCCTCCATGTTTGTAGAAATATAGACTAGATTGATAATTTCTTTCAACATAAAGCATCTTTATGAAAACAAATGCCAATTTTAATGAGCCATGTGGTGCCATAACTGGTTTTTACAGTAACATAACTCTCACGTAAGATGCTGTGGAATGGGCTCAGACTGATAGCTCTGCTGTCTGTGCTGTAATCTGCATGTGTAAGTGTTGATGGCTGGGTGAGCTGTCTTCTTGTCCCTTCATGCTTCAACCTTAGTTGTAGCCTCAAGCTCTCTAGGGTGTTTCATTCTCACAGTAGACTGATGCTAACTGTGGGCTAACAAGGCAAGGGAAGCCCATGGCAAATGTTTAATAATGGTACATATGGTCAGAGTAGGAACATCTTTATTCCTTTTTTATAATTGTTTAAGTAAATCAGTTTGGCAGAGTGTTGTCAATAAAGTCAGTGTTTCATTAATGAGGCATTTGTTTTAAATGGAGCACCATGCAAGCCTGGAATAAACATTTGGTTGATATATTTAATAAGGCAAACTAAATTCTCACAAGTAGACGATATCTCCATCCACACAATATATATCAGTAATTTATTCTGAAGTTGGCTGATTTTTATCCTATGAACCTTATTTGCCACAACTTCTGGGATGCAGAAGAAATAAATTGTTTGCCAAGACTAGGGGTGCAAGAAGATTTAGAATACATCTCAATTTTTTCATATGAAGGGCTAGTTGTATCCTGCTTTGTGGATCATAGTAATAACCTCCAGACCCATCACTGCTGTATGTTATGTTACAAATTCAAAGAGCCAACTATCACTCTTAAGCTGGTTTTAACATCATTTGATTCATCCGATTAATTTATACAAAATGGGATAATTCAGAAACTAAAGAGGACTATATTTCTATTACGAATTAACCAGTGAGTATCATGACGTTCGTGACTGCTCCCAACTGCCCTGTAACACAGTTAATCATTTATTAAGTTTTCTTGGAGAGTAATAAGAGCAAGGCTAGTATGAGCAGGAAGTAAGAATGTGTCCAGAGGGGATCTGTGGATTGCCATATCTCTTTAGACTTAGGAAACAGTTTTTTAAAACCTTTTGTTACTGTGAAATAAAGCATGTAACCTCCAGTATACTAACCAACATAATCAATGATTTCTCACAAAGTGAACACCATGTATCCATTCAGGTAAAGACAAAGAACATTTCTCGCCCTACATCTAACCCTATATATAAAATTATATTTCAAGATTATCAAGAAGCATTAGAGAAAAGGTGAAGAAATAACTTAGGTTTAAGATTTTCTATTTACCATGTAGCCTTACCTGTTTGCTATAGGTAAGAATAACTATACATTAATTCAAATATATAATTAATTAGTGTGTAATTAAACTAGAAAATCTTTAGTAATGGAATATCTTATAGAAGCAAACCTACCTACAGTAGTGTTTCCCAACAAGGAAAGTAATGATATTTGTATGGTAACTGAGGTAAACTGGAAAGAATTTGAGAACATCTGTATGGGACTTGGTGAAAAAGTTAATGGCATTTTCTTTATGCAGTACAATTATGATAAAGTAAAATACATTTGGGGCAATATATTAAAATTGAATATAAATAACTTTAAATTGGGAAATATGAATATGATTTCATCAATATAATTTTTATCTCAGGTTTTATGCTTGAAAGTCTATATACCATTTCTAATCAAAATATTTTGATGACAAATGATTTTTTCAAATTCTTGATACGTGCTGTCAATAAAAAAAAATTATCACAAATACAGAATAAAAATTTTGAAGCCAGTCTATTACTACTAAAAAATTTGCAACATTTGATTTTAAATAATATAACAGTTCTTCCTTTTATTTTCTTGACATATTTACCATTGGAATTTCATATGAGGATGCATATAGATTCAGAATTCACCTACATTTTATGTAAAGTCTAATTATATAGAAAGTCTAATTTGGAAAATACACATGCCTTTTGGAGAAGTTACCTATCCTGCACCAACTTTACCACAGATGAATAAAAGTGTCTAGTATATGAGAAGACTGATATTGGGGCCACCACCTAAAGATACATCTGCCAAAAGTCCCTGACTTGCTTTCTCATCAGCTGTCTTCCTATGACCAAATTTTGGTAAGCGTGCTATGCTAATTAAGTGATTCGCTATGAAATCCTCCAGCAGATCCCGACCCTTTTCACATGATGGCAAGGGACATGCTTGTAGCAGGTTGCTGAAGTGATAGCAAGGTGGTAGACACTCCGCTTGGTTGAGTTCCAGGAGCTCAGCATCAAGCTGCTTGCCTGGACTTCGCTAGGGATGAGAAGACCAAATTCCTGGTGGGATGTCTTTAACTCAGCTAGTTGAAAAGCTCTTACCTATAGAAATGAAGGCAAGCGAGTAACAAAGTCTGTACACTGAAAGACTCTGAGGTGGATGAGTAATTATGAAGGATTTTTGCTACAAGAACCAGAAAACACTTAAAGTCTTTAAGTTACTTACTAAAACCAAATTGAATTTAATTACTAAACCAAAGCAATGAGTGCTATTTCAATCATTGATAAATGATTGGTCTTTTCTAGTGAAAATGGATGTGAAAATGTGGTTACATGCAAGTATTTTGTTACAAATTTCCTTTCTTTAGAACGGGTTCTTTTTAAATAGGCATTTACTGAGTTTTAGAATATCCCTGCTTCTACTTCCAGGCAGGGCTCCTGCTTCCTCTCTGCTCTCAAACACTGCCATTTTCATATGGAAAACCTAGCACATAACTGCTTTCTCTGCCCCTGAGGTATATTTTTCTAGGAGAATTATAGACTCTCAGTATTGAAAAGTGACATTGAATATTGTCTAACTCCTTCTTTCTCAAAGTGTGGTCCACATACTAGCATTATAAGTATCACTTTGGAGTTTGTTAGAAATGCAGACCCGCAGCCTCCACCCCAGAAGTTCTGAATCAAAATCTGCATTTTTAATAAGTCCCTTATGATTCATATGCAATTAAAGTTTGAGAAGTACTGATCTAGTTAACAACCCTTTAAATAAATACATACACTCCTTTGTAATATTTCTATCAAGTTGGTAGGTAATTCTCGGTCTCCCAAAGCAACCTATTATTTGGTTTGGATAGGCATAAATGGTTACAAAGTCCTTCCTTATAATACCATCAATCTTCCCTCATTACCTACCTTCAGTCAAGCATGTTAATTTTACCCTGTAGTACCACACCGACAAGTCTCAATCTGTTTTCTACATGGCATCTCTTCATACTTTGAAAACGGATTATTATGACTTTCCTAACTTATTCCCTCTCCAGGTTAAACACCACCAGTCTTTTTAATACTTTTGCGTACTGAGTACTTTTGTCTCGATAGGATTTTTTCTTAACATAATGTTGAAAATATGGTACCCAGAATGAAATG